GCCGCGGCGCCCCATTGACCATGCGCTGTAGCAATGCCTCAACCTTCGCCCCATAATACCTCGCTTCCCGTTGCTCTTGCCCGCGCCCAGTCCCGCTCGCTGGTGCCTCCGGAAAACCCACGGATCCAGCAGAGTGGCCACTGCTTGTTCGCGTTGAGGATCTTCCCCCAGTGCTCGCCCCGGCACCCATCCCATCTTCATCCGCAGGGCTCTACCCCTTATTAATTCTCGGGATATCCTCCTCCTTTTTCGGTCTCGCGTCGGTTCAGACTCGCCGCCACCCTATCACCGCTGTCTTCGTTCGGGTCCTTTTTGTTCTCGATGGGGGTTCTCGATCCGCAACTCCACCTCGCCGGGCAATCCCCATGCTGGGCAAGCTCTTCGCCTCGGGTATCTCACCAGTGCTTCGCGGTCTTCTCTCACTGCCTCCATGAGCTCAGCGTCTACAAACCTCGCGTCGCCCTCGCAATCATTGCCCACCGCCTGGCGATAACCTCTCTCCACCTGCTCGTAGTCGATGGTTTCCGCCTTCAGTCCTCCGTCCGTTCCGTCCTTCTTGAACTCGCTGCCCCGCTACTGCGCCCCCTTGTTCGTGCGCGGCGAGTAGAAATATGCATTCCAAGGTTGTCTTTCTGTACCGCCATATTGACCGCGTAGGGAATGGAGCTCCGCGCGCGCGGTTGCTCGCCTCCGCCGCAATGCAAATAGCCTCCACCAGCTCTGTCTTTCGCTGTTGCTCGCGAGTCTGACGCGCTCCTTTTAGCGTCGCTGTGATCTCCTTCAACTGGTTCTGGGTCTCTTCTAGCTCGTCGTTCAGGTCCCGCCTCTTGTCCTGCAGTTGCATTCTATACTGAGTTGTAGCAGCGAGCCCTTCTGATTGCACTCAAGCTCCTTGTGGGAAAACTTATTCCGTGGTCTCATCCACCAAGTTCCGCAGGATGTCCCGCCTTTCGTCGGGCGCGTGTCTGCTTTTCGCCGGATGCCACCATTCCCCTGCGACCTCCGCCTGTTTCGCCTCGATCCTTTGGAAAAAGTATTCCCGTCTGCTTCCCTTTCGCAAACCATTCATAAACTCATGTCTGTAAACCCACGCTGCTAGGAGAGTTCTGCATTCCTTCACTGCTGCTGCTGCTCCATCCACCAGAATCATGATATGAACAATTCGAATCTGACATTTTTTTCATAATGCGTGCTGCCCAGCTCAGGGACTAACGTAGTCTGTGCTCGTAAATGTATACTCAAGCATGTGCGTCGTACACAACTGTGTTTTGCCCCAGCAGCTTCTTCCCCATTCACAATGAATCGCCCAATGGTGCGGTAGTTGCTGCAAGGCTGGGTGTTCCCAATCAGCTCTCCTCTGGATGCCCGTAACCATAATATGCTGCCACTGTTTCAATTCTCTGCAAATGTCCTCACACCGCTCCCCCCTGCATGTGGTTGTACCGAATCGTTCCCACTATGCGCAATAAATAAAAGAAAAGCACCCCGTCGAACAGCATCGTCGCGCAGTCGCTCACCAGCGCGACGCCGCCATCCCTCGCGATGCCGTGTGCCGCGTCTCTTGGGTTGGGACTCCGACACCCAGAGAAATGCTGGTTCCTCCCGCCAGCCGACAAACAAGCTTTCAGCCTGATACGCCAGCTGAAGGGAGGAGAGGAGGGAGAAGGGAGGAGGGAGAAGGAGGAGGAGCAGGAAGGTAAAAGCGTGAACGTGCGAGGAAATTCTAAGCGAAAGCGCCGTTCCTGAAGGAAGTCTCGGGCGGGAGCCCACGACGGGCGGGCGATCCCCTGACGGGCGGGCCGGGCGGGTGGGACATTTAAGCGGGATGCCTGAGTATGGCGAGAGCGCGATTACTAAGTAAATTGTAACGGCGTCCTTGGCGCAGCGTGTTTCCTGAGCGTCGAAAGCGCGATTTCTGAATAAATTGCATGGAAGTCACAAGCGAGAGCGCAATTCCTGAATAAAATGTGAAGGGTTCTCTGGCGGGAGCGGGGACCTTGATTAAGAGGAAATCTTGACTCAATTGCGAGGAAGTCTCAAGCGGGAGCGCCGTTCCCGAATAAATTGTGAGGAAGTCTCAGATGGGAGCGGGGGTCCTGACTAAATTGCGAGGAAGTCACAAGCGGGAGCACCGATCCTGAGTAAATTGTGAGGAAGTCTCAGGAGCGGGGGTCCTGAGCAAATTTGGAGGAAGTCTCAGGCGGGAGCCGTTGTTTTTGTAATCCGCGGGGCCAGGGGCCCAGTTTGAGCACGAAGACTTTTCCTATTAAAGCATGGTGCGAATGTCGAGGGGCACGCTCTGATTGAAAAGAAATTATCCCGGCGAAGCAACCTAACAGCGATGTGTAGGAGCATACCTGGAAGCATTCCCCTTAAGATTCAGATGATAATCCAGTTGTAGAGTTCTGCTGTTCTCGCTGTCGCAGTCGCATTCGCGATGACAGTCGCAGTGGCAACGGCAGTCGCAGTCACAGCCTCAGCCTCAGCCTGCCTCAGCCTCAGCCTCAGCCTGCCTCAGCCTCAGCCTGCCTCAGCCTCAGCCTCAGCCTGCTTCAGCCTCAGCATCAGTCTGCCTTCAGCCTCGGCCTCAGCCTCAGCCTGCCTCAGCCTCACCTGCATCAGCCTCAGCCTCAGCCTCAGCCTGCCTCAGCATCAGCCTGCCTCAGCCTCAGCCTCAGCCTGCCTCAGCCTCAGCCTCAGCCTTCAGCCTCAGCCTCAGTCTGCTCAGCCTCGGCCTCAGCCTCAGCCTGCCTCAGCCTCAGCCTGCCTCAGCCTCAGCCTCAGCCTCAGCCTGCCAGCCTCAGCCTCAGGCCTTCAGCCTCGGCCTCAGCCTCAGCCTGCCTCAGCCAGCCTGCATCAGCCTCAGCCTCAGCCTCAGCCTGCCTCAGCATCAGCCTGCCTCAGCCTCAGCCTCAGCCTGCCTCAGCCGCAGCCTCAGCCTCAGCCTGCCAGCCTCAGCCTCAGCTGCCTCAGGCCTCAGCCTCAGCCTGCCTCAGCCTCAGCCTGCATCAGCCTCAGCCTCAGCCTCAGCCTCAGCCTCAGCCTGCCTCAGCCTCAGCCTCAGCCTGCCTCAGCCTCAGCCTCAGCCTGCTTCAGCCTCAGCCTCAGTCTGCCTTCAGCCTCGGCCTCAGCCTCAGCCTGCCTCAGCAGCCTGCATCAGCCTCAGCCTCAGCCTCAGCCTGCCTCAGCATCAGCCTGCCTCAGCCTCAGCCTCAGCCTGCCTCAGCCTCAGCCTCAGCCTGCTTCAGCCTCAGCCTCAGTCTGCCTTCAGCCTCGGCCTCAGCCTCAGCCTGCCTCAGCCTCAGCCTCAGCCTCAGCCTCAGCCTCAGCCTGCCTCAGCCTCAGCCTGCCTCAGCCTCAGCCTCAGCCTGCCTCAGCCTCAGCCTCAGTCTGCCTTCAGCCTCGGCCTCAGCCTCAGCCTGCCTCAGCCTCAGCCTGCATCAGCCTCAGCCTCAGCCTCAGCCTGCCTCAGCATCAGCCTGCCTCAGCCTCAGCCTCAGCCTGCCTCAGCCTCAGCCTCAGCCTGCTTCAGCCTCAGCCTCAGTCTGCCTTCAGCCTCGGCCTCAGCCTCAGCCTGCCTCAGCCTCAGCCTGCATCAGCCTCAGCCTCAGCCTCAGCCTGCCAGCATCAGCCTGCCTCAGCCTCAGCCTCAGCCTGCCTCAGCCTCAGCCTCAGCCTGCCTCAGCCTCAGCCTCAGCCTGCTTCAGCCTCAGCCTCAGTCTGCCTTCAGCCTCGGCCTCAGCCTCAGCCTGCCTCAGCCTCAGCCTCAGCCTCAGCCTCAGCCTCAGCCTCAGCCTGCCTCAGCCTCAGCCTCAGCCTGCCTCAGCCTCAGCCTCAGCCTGCTTCAGCCTCAGCCTCAGTCTGCCTTCAGCCTCGGCCTCAGCCTCAGCCTGCCTCAGCCTCAGCCTGCCTCAGCCTCAGCATCAGCCTGCCTCAGCATTCAAAATGTGGCCCGGGAATGGAGTTCTGGGAACTCGAAGAACACGGAGTGGCCTACAGTTGGCTCCGGGCATTCAAGATCATGCCCAGGAATGGAATTCTGGGAACTCGAAGACCACGAAGTGGCCTACAATTGGCTCCGGGCATTCAAAATGTGGCCCCGGAATGGAGTTCTGGGAACTCGAAGAGCACGAAGTGGCCTACAGTTGGCTCCGGGCATTCAAGATGTGGCTCGGGAATGGAGTTCTGGGACCTCGAAGACCACGAAGTGTGTAACTGTTTGCTTAAAACGACTTCCGCGGTTTCTCCCCAGCACCCGCCCAGACCCCCCTGGGGAGTCCAGATGCTCTCTTTTGACACTACGAGAAACCTATCAGTCTTCGCTGTTAGGTAACAGCATGCACCGGTGAGGGTGGATCAACAATAATGATTCTTCAGAAATGAGAGTTCAACAACAGTAACAACAACAGCAGCAGCAAACAGCAACAACATCAACAACAACACAAACTTGGCAGGAAACAAAAACACATAAAACGAAGCACGCAGACACATATATACACACACTGTTGGAAGTCGGCGGCGCAGAGGGTCCTCGAGCGCGGGCAGCAGATGGAAGTGCTAATTGCGATCGAGCATTGTCGAAGGCGCAGTATACGAGAGGTCGCACATTGTAAAGTCCTAACGATATACACGCACACGCACACGCACACACACACACAACACAACACACACACACACACACGCACGCACGCACGCACGCACGCACATACACACACACACACACACATACACACACACACACACACACACACACACACACACGCACGCACGCACGCACGCACGCACGCACGCACGCACGCACGCACGCACGCACGCACGCACGCACACACAACCAAACAAACAAACAAAAACCAAACAAACACACAAACAGGCGACAAAAACGGCGGGAGCGGGGAAACACATACTTTCGACACCCCTCCTCCTGCTCCTGCTTCTGACACCCCCACCCTCGCCGAGCAACTGGCCGCGTGCCCACAGGATGGGCATCAGCCGACGGAAACATACCACGGGATGATGATGATCATAATCTCCTCGCGGCCGGCCCAGCCCCGCCCGGGGCCCGCGCTGCTGCCAAGCTGGAGAGCGCGCAGTGGAAGAAGAGCAGGAAGAGGAGGCCACAGATGCGAGGCGGAAATCCGCCGACCCCTTGGGGTTCATCGGCGTGTGAGATGTTCCCCCTCCCCAAACCCCTCCCCCGGGAGCCCGGCCCGGTCCATTTGGACGGGGGGGGGGGTCCGGCCGGACGGCCCCAGACGGCCCCGGACGGCCCCGGGCGGCCCGGACCCCCCCGGAGGTCTCATCCGCTCCCGACAATCGTGGAAAAACACGTGAAAATCGTGTAAGGACGCGTCTGGTGGCCTCGAAATGGGTTTGGGGCGCCCCACGAGCGCTCCAAGACGTCCAAGTTGGCCCGAAGACGGGCCACGAGGCGTCCTCGACGGCAGAAGAGGTCCCCACGAGCCCCCCCGAGGGCCTCCGAGATGCGTTCCACAAGGGTCCCTAGACGCAAAAATTGTGCCATTCCCTTCGTGAAATGTACATTGTTTGAATAATTCAGCTTTGGATATTTCCGATGATCCCGGACGGCCGAAGAGGCTCCCAAACCCGCTCCCAGACGGCCCCAGAAGCCTTGCAGAGGGCCCCCCACAGATCCCGAGAGGGCCCAAGATGGGCCAACAGGCGTCCAAGACGGCCCAAGAGGGCTCCGAAAACGGCCCCAAGAGCGTTCCAGGAGCGCTCCGAGTTGCCTCCACGAAGCTCCACATGGTCCCAGACGGTCCAAGAGCGATCAAAAACATCGACGACGACCTCCCGACGGCTCACGAGGCCTCCCCAGACGCCCCCACAGGCATCCAAGATTCCCCCGAAGAGGCCCTCTAGACGCAAAAAAACGCCCGTTTCCTTCGTAAAACATATGTTTGTTTCACACGTGCGCCTTTGGGGGTGTCCCCCGCTCCTGCACGGCCCCAGAACCCCTCAAACCCGCTCCCAGACGGTGTCCAAGACGCCTCCAAGAGGGTTCCTACATAGCCCTCGAGGGCCCCAAGACGGGCCAACTGACGTCCAAGACGGCCCAGAAGGGCTCCGAAAACGGCCCCGAAAGCGCTCCAGGAGCGGCCCGAGTGGCCTCGAAGAGAGCTCCACATGGTCCTCGACGGTCCAAGGGCGATCCAAAACGCTGACGATGGCCTCCAAACGGCTGAAAAGGCCGCCAAGACGCCCCAAAAGGCATCCACGATGCGCCCCAAGAGGGCCTCTAGACGCAAAAAATCACTCGTTTCCTTCGTCAAACGTATAGTTGTTTCACACGTGCGCCTTTTGGAGCGCCCCCCGCTCCTGGACGGCCCCAGAGCCACCCAAACCCCATCCCAGACGGCCCAAGACGCATCCAGGAGGGTTCCCACAGAGCCCTCGAGGGCCCCAAGACGGGCCAACACACGTCCAAGACTGCCCAAAAGGGCTCCGAAAACGGCTCCAAGAGCGCTCCAGGAGCGCTCCGAGCGGCCTCGACGAGAGCTCCACATGGTCCTCGACGGCCCAAGAGCGATCCAAAACGCTGACGACGGCCTCCAGACGGCTGAAGAGGCCCCCAAGACGCCCCAAGAGGCTTTCACGATGTGCCCCTGGAGGGCCTCTTGCTGTATAAAATCGCCCGTTCTCTTCGTAAAACGCATATGTCTTCGCACGCGCGCCTTTCGGGGTGCCCCCATGCTCCGGGGCGGCCCGAGAGCCCCCCAAGACCGCACCAAGACGGTCCAAGAAGCCTCCACGAGGGCCCCGCGACAGGCCAAGAGGGCGCCAAGACGGGCCAAGAGAGGCCGAGGACGGGCCAAGAGAGCCCCGAAGACGACGCGCGCGCGACTCGCGGTTAGATTCCACGCAACTTGCGCTGCTCCCCGCCGCGCTCGTCACTCGCCTCCGCAGGGCGTTTCGGCGGGTCTCTCCGCGGCGCCCGCCCCGCCTTATAGCACTTGGCCCAAACCGCCAGAGCGCCTCGGTGGGAATAATTCGTCTTCTGGGCTATCGACAGATGGCCGCCGCCAGTGAACGTAGGCTTTGATCCGTCCTTCTTCAGGGGACATGCGGAACATTCCAACTTCTTCCCCACCTGCCTTTGCTCGCGGCACGCTCGCCACACCGCCGGGCGATGCTCCGAGCCCATAGCGAAGAAGTGCTCCACCTGCTTATCTGTCAGATGCGTCCTGTCCGCGAATTCTCGCTCTTTCCCATCTGCTTCTTTCGGGCACGCGGAGCACGTGAGAACTCGCGGCTGATTGCGTTCTTCCTGGCACGCGCGGCACATGACTGGGCGACGATTCGAACCCGTCGCGAAGAAGTGCTTCACTTGCGTATCAGTCAGATGCGTCCTGTCCGCGAATTCCCGCTCTTCTCCATATGCTTCTTTCGGGCGCGCGGAGCACGTCAGCGCTCGCGGCCGATTGCGTTCTTCATGGCACGCGCGGCACATGAATAGGCGACGGTCCGAACCCTTCGCGAAGAAATGCTTCACTTGCTTATCTGTGAGGTGCGTCCTGTCCGTGAATTCTCGCTCTTTCCCATCTGTTTCTTTCGGGCACGCGGAGCACCTGAACACCCGCGATCGCTTGTGATGCGCGTCGCAGTCGCGGCATTCCACTGGCCTATGGGCTGCGCCCGTTTTATAATACCGGTTGATTTGTTATGTTGTCAGATGCGCCGCGTCCGTGAATTCCCGTCCTCTTCCGTCTGTGTCTTTTGGGCACTCCGAACACCTCAGCGGCTGTTCCTGGCGCGCGCTTTGTCGAGCAGTGTTCGTTGCATTCATCCGCTCCGTATTCTTCTGCGACTGGCTCCACTTGTTACATCCGCCTTTCCTCTTCCCTGCGCACTTCTTGCAGAGCTTCTCCCCTGCGCCCTTCGTAGCGCACTGGTTCGCCGTAATTTCTGCCTCCGTCTTCAGGAATTCGCAGCAGGGCTCTCGACGACACGTCCTGCGCGTCTTCTTCTGCTTCATCTACCACCCATGAATGTATCGTCGCGCGACACCCTCGTAGCAATTGCTTCTCTGATCGGTCCAAATGGTCCGTCTGCACAACTGGCATGCCCACGGCAAGCGGTAACCATCCTGGCACGTCTGCACAGGCCTTGTCGGTGTATCCGAGCCACCGCACTTTGTCTGCTGAGGTGCACGGCATTTCCTGGCACGTCGCGTGCGTTGCCTTATCCCGCGCACAAGCCCACGAAATCTGTTTTTTTTGGCACGCAGCCCAGTCGACGGCCCGCTGCCGCGCTACCTTGCACTTCACATCCTGATTCGGATATATGGCAGTGGTTTCGACGAATTGTGGAAGTGCGAACCGCTCGTCTGCGGCACTGGTGGCTACGAGACATCGACGCTTTCTTTCCTCTGCACACCGTCCACACTCCAGCCCGTTGTCCTTTGCGATAGACGCCACGTTCTGCACGCAGGATAGCGAACCACACATTGGCTGGTCATGCAACCAAGACCCTGGAACATCTGTAGGTTTCCCATGCAGAAACTGGTGCGTCCTTTCGGTCAGGGCTCCCCGTCGGAACTCATCTTGTACTGCCAGGAACCACTCGCCCTTCTCTTCCAAACGCTTGCACTCTACCAATTCCGTCATCCCCGCCACGGACCCCGGCCCCTCGCCCCAGAAGGGTACTGACCATGATCTTCTTCGGCGCCTGGCGCATACTGCCTCGCCTTCCGTGCCCATGACGTCGGAATCGCGTGCAACGGAGTTCCGCCAGGAGGTTCCAACTGGTAGAAATCTCAGCAGAATAACACATTGACACCTCCGAACGGACGGCCCACCTTGTCGGCACCCACCTTCCCTTGCCTCGCTGCCGACATCACAGACCGCAAGTGCGCATCCAGCTCTGCAAGAAAATTTGCACTGACCATACTGATTTCGTCGATGATGAGTCAACGCCACTGCTGAATTCGCTTCGCTGCCTCTACTTTCTTGGCACCTGGCTCTCCACGCTTCTTACCGGATTCTGCACTGGCGCCGTACGGAGTCATCCCAAACGCGGCGTGCAACGCGTGCCCATCCAGACTGGACGCGTTCGTGGCTTGCAACGCAGCAACTTGGAAGTCCAGCCCGTGTTCCCAGCCCATGACTCCTTCGAACTCGTGTTTTCGTAAGGTCTCTACCACGAAGCTCTTCCCTGTGCCTGGGCCTCCGTGCAGCATCCACAGCAACGGCTCCGAATTGCCCATTGCACGCTCGTCTTCCTGACGCTCAGCGATCATCCTGTCTACGACCTTATCTGCGACTTCTCTTTGTTTCTCATTCATGTCCACGACGCGTCCGCTGCTAGGTCCGCGCAGTCCTGCTTTCCACCGCCGCGACTCCTCAGCGCCGCCTGCAGGAACCTCTCTCACCCTCCCCTACTCAATTTCGCAACCCTCCAACCCGTCACCTCTCGTCTTTGTCTGAGAAGCCCGAGCTTCTGCTTCCCGTCGCTTCAACTCTTCCTCTGGCACCTCTACGCGCCCGTCTGTTCTCGCCCACGCCCTTCGGCGGTTCCTTCCATCTCCGCCCGCCTCTCGGCCCCGCACACGCGTCGATAATGCCGCGGCTTCGGCGCTCAGACGACGCGCCTCTGCAACAGCGCCGGTCGTTTCCCTTTCATCGTCTTCGAGCGCGCGCCCCCAACGCGCGCGCGCCGCCGGACACCGTCGTCGAGGTCGTCGGCGTCCACATCTTCGTCGCTGAACAAATCATCGTCGTGCTTCCTCCCAGAGTCATCATCCCCCTCGGGGCGCACGTCGACGACGCTCGTGAAATTCTGCACATACCTCTTCGACTCCTCGCAAGGAAGGCCGCCATCCAACCGCCCACGCGCGGCTTGTGCCAGCGTCTTCTCCCCAAGCGCACCTTGGCCGCTGCAACGTTTTGGCGCAAAACCTCCATGGGCATTGCCATGTTCACATCGCCAGCGTCGCCCTTCAACACCCCGTCCTCAAATGGCACGCCGCATGCGCCTGTGAAATCCGGTTCGAACAACCCGCCCTTCGACGCGC